TTAATTTATAATTATTAATTTATTATTATTGGTTAATATTGTTTGTCCTCATCTTTAATTTATAATTATTATTAATATTGTTTATATATATACACACATTTATACAAGATTTTACTTTTGAATTTATTATCTATGAGCATCGCAGGCTAGTTGAACATAAAAGCTCAATTTGAAATCCCTCTAATTCTCTAATGTGTTGAGCCTAAGTGGCAGACTTACGTATTTCGGGATCCTAGGTGTCAAAATTTCGTGTTTCATTATTTGGCTTGGATAGATTTTAATTTAATTTCAATCCAAAAATAATTAGGTTCGGATTACCATAAATATGTTGATTTATTTATTATCATTTGGATGTATTAATTGTATTTTAATATCATTTCCTATTATAACAATTGAATTGTAAATTAATTATCTTTTGATTAGCTTCGATTTGACTTTATATATAAAATAAATAAATTATATTTATATTTATAATAATAACATTATTTATCAAAATTAATTAAAAAACAAAATTAATTCTCAATTACTATATTTATCTCTAATATAGTTATATGTTTTTTTTTCCGAAACGATAGATGTATTATAAATCAAAACGCACAACAGTACAAAAAGGCAGCCCAAGGCTGAATATTACAACCAAGAACTAAAAACTGGGAGGACGAATCGAAAGACCGCCTAGAGCCTCGCTAGCCACGCTAGAATAGAAAAACCTACTACAAACAACTAAAAGACACCAACACAACTAGGATCGCTCCCCACGGGAGAATAGGATCGCCCCCCACGGGGGAATCAGTACAGAGGCCAACGACCCAGACAAAAAACACAAGACAAAAACAAACACAGATACTACAACACAAACAAGAACATAATAACTAAATAAACTAAAAGCCCTTCCCCAGCAAACGAGCTAGCCCCAAACCAACAGTATACGATTGACGGAAGACAAATCCAAGCCAAGAAACTGCTACCGAAACTGCAATCAAGCCTATACAGTAAAAAAAACCAAGGCCCGAACCAATCTCCGAATCGACCTGACTCCAACCGAGCGAACAAACACCAGGCCCTATCCCAGCCCCACCCGAACCCGTCTAACACCACTAGCCGAGCTCGGGAGAACTGGTCCCCCGCCGCCTAACACCACTAGCCGACAAGGGAGGGAGGGGGAGGCGCAATCCGCTACTTCGGCAACCACGGTAAAGGACGTCCCACCAAGACGCTGCCAAAGCCCCGCCCCACAAATAGACCACACCCCTCGCCACCGCGAACCTTCGGCAACTGGAGGCCGAACTCCACCCCCAGCTCCACCGGAACAGGCGAAGCCAAATGGGAGGGACCCGTAGTTTGCATACCAGAAACAGATCGCAATGGCGACGATGGCCATCGAGAGCCTGCCGGCGACCGAATCGCTGACCATCCTCCGCCTAGGATCGATCGACCGTCTGGAACCACAGACCGACGAACCATCACCGACCACCCGCAGCAAAAACCAAGGGGTGCCTGTCAGCAGTGATGCGAGCCGTTGAAGACAGCCATTGGCCGGAGCAAAGCAGTCACCGGGTGATGTGGTCGTTAATAGTGGCTCGGGAAGAACCGGTTGGGAATTCGGTCATCATTATCATGTGAAGGGGACCGGATAAACATCATGGTAGTCGGGCGGTTGGGAGTGCTCAGCGTCGCATGGTGTTCGGCGCCCCTCAAGTGCTCGGCATTGGAGGTGGCCGGGATGAAGTGACTGGCGCGGCATCATCCGGCATGGCGAGTGCTCGGCGTGGGTGAGTGCTCGGCGCGAGGCCTCCAGCGGGTGCTCGGTCTTGGGAGGTGCCCGGTGGCCTCGTGTGTTCGGCGGCCCTCATAGGCCGTGGAGGGGGCTAGAACCCGAAGATGGCTTCGGGATCAAGTTACGAAGGAGTTAGTCGCAACAAGGGCTCTCGAGACTCAGAAGACCTTTTACTCAATTAAGAGTTTGATATGGAGAAGACTTCTTATTCCACTGGGATTCTCCAAATTTCTCCTATAAAAGGGAGCAGATTCATTCATTTTACACAACACACATTTCACAAACTATCTCGTTACTCTGTCGTTTTCTCTCATTACCATCACTGACTTGAGCGTCGGAGTGTTCGCGCCGGGACCACCCCCAGCGTGTTTTGCAGGTACCGACGATCAAGGAGACGCAACCCGGTTTGAGAGGAGCGGTTCAACGGTTCGGGTATTTGTGGTATAACACCGGGGAAGGCCGACTATCAAGAATATTGAGGAGGCGGCGGATGGAATTTGGGGGTTAGGGTTGAGCGAGAGAGAAAATTTCAGATCTAAATGTATATAGTTATATGTTATAAGTTAGAAAAATTATTATAATATAACACAGGTGAGTCTCACAAGTAACAAGTGTCATACTAAAATTTATAATAATATATATATTTTTATTAAAAGTATTTAAATTTTTAACTATTTTTTCCCATTGATTTTAAATTTTAAGAAAAAATTTAGCAAGCACCCGTACTATCACATTAATATACGACACATTAATATACGAAGACGGAGACTCACATTAATCTGTCACACTCCCATCCGAAATCACTTGCACCAAACCCTATTATATGTCTTAGTAACTTGCAAGCAAATTTAAATAAGGACCATTCCATTAACAGCAAGCAAACAAACAAGCAAACAAAGAAGCTTAATTAGTGATATCAAAATCAAATACTTAAACCACTCAACAACCTATGATCATGAATTCGCCCTCCACTTTTCACAACTTGGAAAGTTAAGATTTTTCTGTTTTTATTTTATTTTGTGATATTTTAAATTAAAGTACAGTTTTTATATATATTTTAATTAGAGTTTTATTGATATTATATAAAAGCTCATACTTTAAAAAACGATATATATAAAAGTATGGTATATTTTAATAATCATGCATTTTTGTGAAAGAATTATGACAAGTCGATTGGTCTAGTGATTAAATTGTCCCACAAAAATTTGTGAATAATTAACCAATGTTCTAAAAGTCGCTAGGCGCCCGCTAGGCGCTCGACCAGCGCCTAGCGCCTAGAGCGACTAGACGGGGCCTAGGCGGCGCTTAGTCGGGGCTTAGAAATCAATTTTAAGTACCTTATTTTTTATTTATTTTAACTATCTACAAAATAAAATTATCTCAACTTATAATATATCGACACACTTAAGTCCCAATAATCAAATTAATATATTTTAAAGAAAACATGAGAACAAATAATGTAACTAATATTTAAAAAAAATAAAAAAAAATAAAAAAAAACTGAAAAATTACCGCCGAGACCGCCTAGATCCGCCTAGGCGCCGCCTAACCGCAAGGCCGCCGAGCCCGCCAAGGCCGCCTAGGAGCGCCTAGGGCCGCCTGGGCCCGCCCAGGCGCCGCCTAGCCGCCTGGCCGATTTTTTCTGTCGATTTGTGCAAATCAGAGGCGCCCGGACACAGTCTAGCGCCTAGACGCCGCCTAGGCGGGCGTCTAGGCCAATTTTTAGAACAGTGTAATTAACTGAAACGAGCACCACCAATAGACAACAAAATACGATAATCGTATTGAAAATTGAAAACCATGGACTAGCAGAAATCTTCATCATTAACAGGCTCACGCTAAATTATACGCGTCGACCTAACCATTAGGCCATACATAATTTTTTAAGTCCAAACAGTATAACTGGCCCAATCATTAGGTTATACTCATACATACTTTTTTAATAAATATGCATTTTTCTATTTACAAATATCATACACTTAAAAAAAAAAAAACAACATAAATACATATGTTCATACTTAAATATTACATGTTATAAAATACAATATAAAAAAAGGAATAACATATGTAGAAGATTATTCACTCGGTTGTATATTTGGGGTCAGTTTGCCACCCTATGATGGGGTGTCAAAGTGTATAGTTTTAATCTTAATTTTTGATTTAAAAAACAAAAAAAAAAATAAAAAAATAAATTACTTAATTCGTTGTGACAATTTTATAAGATTCCTTGACTATGTATTTGGCATAAACTTGCCTGCTCCAATAAAGGAATTAAAGATTATATTTCAAATTATTTACTCCCTTATGAGATGATAGTAATATTTTATAATTTGATTTTAACCACTAACTAAAGACAGCCAATCTTGAACTGTGTGGAGCAATTATATACAACAACAACAACAAAGTCTTTTAGTCCCAAACAAGTTGGGGTAGACTAGAGATGAAACCCAATAGAAACAGTAGTTACAAA